CCAGGGACTTTGGATAGTTTGGTGGGACCTTGTACATCACTCAGAAGGCTTCGTTGGGGTTTACCCGATATCCGGGATCAACCATGTGCACCAGAATAGAACTGTTTATGCTCCTGAATTCACCTTTTCTCGGGCATGCCGGGAGGTGTTCCCTTATTCTTTTGGATAAGCGCCGACGCGTGCGACAAACACAGCTGCTCCACAGAGGCAAGTAAAGGGGGTAGATACGCATGAAGGTGGTCTGAGCTGGTAACCTATCTTTAACTTCCCCATGTGAGATCGTGTTGGTTGAGAATAATAACCGAACTCTAGCTGCTGGGAAGGTTCGTGTAACAGCTTGGTCAAGGCGTCTTTTCAGGAGTTCCCTTGCCGCGTCCCCTCGAAAGGGGACTTTGAGAAATAGTGTTTTCTTTTCCACGGTAAGTGTGGTGGGTTTTAATTGTTTCACAGCCATATTCCCTGGTAATAAATCTCTCAGGATACCCGTTCTCACTGCCGAGCAAATTTTTCTAGCTCTTTGCATTAAGCAGCGAAATAGATTTCGATCCTGTTGAAGTCCTAAGAAACTGTAATTTTTCTATAATCCTTAAATGGTATTTATGAATTAATTAATACTATTCTCTATGCTCTTTCTCTTTTCCTGCTGTCTCCCGAGGAATTCTCAAACTTTGAGGTTGGACTTAAACAGGCTAGGCGGCAGATAAATACACACTTTAGGAAACTCTGCGACTTCTATCGCGCACCCTGCGTCCGCTACTCATACCATCTGGTAAGTCTGGATTTTATTTCTGTGAGATGACTTTCACTGCCGTCACATTATATAACTAAGGATTCAAATCAAATTTGAAAAAGTCAGAATTCCGGGATAACAATTAGCGTTCATCTTCTGCTCACCGGAATATATTTGTAGGTTTGCTGACCTTTCGGACAGCTGGGCCGGCTGTCTTTTGTCGAAGCGAATACTGACTTTATCGGTCAGCGAGTTAAAAGTTGCGGCTGTACGTGTTGGCCCCTAAAGTCTGAATATCCGTTTGAATTTCTACGGTATTGCCTTAAAACCTATTTCACATTTGGAGGACAAATATATGAACAAATTAAAGGCACCCCAATGGGCTCTCCCCTATCACTTTATATAACTAAAAATTCAAATGCCACAATTGACACCATATCTTTTCTGAAATAAGCATTGAAGAAGTCCAGTTAGGCGAACGTATATGCCGCTATTGACCAGACTGCTTGAAGTTAACCGAAAATCTGAAGTGCGTTTTTTATTGGAAGTTGTAAAACGGCAAAAATGTCTTGTAGGGCTGCCAAAATAGCTATTCCCCCTGGCCAACTATCTTACGGAATTTGTGGTTCAACATTTAGGTCTTTGTTAGCGAATGGATGGGAATATTTAATTTTGTAGAAAGTGATGAAAAAATATTAAATTAAAAGTCTACTGTTAATGATACTTTACAACTATCGAAAAGCATTGTTAATGTAACTACCTACTACCATGACGGTTTCCGCGCATGGTCCACTAACCTGCGCCCAGCCTGAAACAACAGCAGGCCGTCCGTGCTCGTTCAA